GCATGGCTGGCTGGGGAATTCTGGGAGCTGAAGTCCACAGGTCTTAAAGTTATCAAGGCTGAGAAACACTGGCTCAGATAAAGGCTTGTGTAGTGGGAAAAATGAAGCTGTAAGCAAATGCAACCAGAACTTCTTCTGTTCATGGGAATATATACATGTGTAGGGGTGTCTGTGGGGGTGAGAAAAAAGTACAGCTGTACAGTGGAAGCCCCACCTTGTTTTTACATGTGACATAAATACAGTGGACGTAACAAAGGGGCAAGGCTTCTATCACACGGCCCCGGCTGCCACCTCCCCCTACTATTTTTCCTTCCTCTTGCTTTCCATTTTTATTTCCAATGTTTCATTTTAAATCTATTTTTACATTTTTTTTAAAAAAAGTAGTTTCAATAATCAAGGATGAATTGCAGAGAGACATCCTAGCAGTCCCCTGAGACTTCCTTCTTTTCCTCCATTTTGTCATCACTGTTTGATTTTCCTTCCTACCTGCTTTTTGCCCCCACCATTTTGAACCGGCCTGGTCAGTCAGTCTTTTCCAGTGCCCACTGGGGGGATTGGGGTGTGTGTGAAAAAACCTCTGAGTTGAGGGAAGTGCTTCTGCAGTATCCATTGATGAAAACAGGCCTTAACCCCCCTGCTCTGCAGCCCAGATTCTAAAATTACTTGCTTCCTGAATTTATACTGCCTACTGTGACCTTGGGCTCTGCTGAAAGCTGCTGCCCTTTCCAGGCTCAGCAGCATGGGTCCATGACCTCCGTTCACACCCACATGATGGGCAGCAACTCTCCAGTTGCTGGCAAAGCCCATTAACAAACTGGCAAAGTCATGCCAGTTCCACTCTGCCCCTGTGTTATCTGAAGTGCAAAGCCAGGTATCTACTGCACACGCACACCCTGCCCGGGCGTTCAGACTTTTTAATAAAGTTATGGTTGAGGATGTAAAAACAGCGCATATTAAAGTGGCAAAAGACTAGGAGCGGGAGAGGTATATCAGAAGCAAAATCTCAGCTACAAAATCCTAGTGTCTGGAACCATGGGCCCAAGCCAACACATTTAAACGCAACACAGATGCACTGCCCTTGGAAATCGAAGACCCAAGCATAAGATGAGCAGAACAGGAAGCAGGATGGCTTCCTGGATTACAACGTGTTACAAGGGGGCAAGGCATCGTTGCTAAGAAAAATGCACCTTTTAGGCGGCCCTCACAGAAGCATGAACAGGACTGTGGGAATCAAAGTTCTGCTGTGTTCTACGCTTGACAGGTTGTACCACGTTTTAGGAGCCCGTTAGCCAACGGGAGCCTATCCAGCCACGACCGTGAGGAAGGGTTGAAGGAGCTGGGAATCTTTAGCCTGGCACAGAGAAGGGTCCAGGGCAGTGTTTCTCAACCTTGGCCGCTTGAAGATGTGTGGACTTCAACTCCCAGAATTCC